GGGAGATGCAGACTCCCTACCAAGTAGGGAGCCTGATGCAGAGCTCGATCCCAGGACCCTGGGATCATGACCTGAGCCGAAGGCAGATGCTTAACCAATTGAGCCACCCAGGCACCCTACTGAGAGTATTCTTACAGCACTTATGCACATTTATATTATTTTTGGTGTGGGCTCAAGAAGAGAGCCAACCGCCACAATTAAAAGGTTTTTAGACAAAATCAGAAAACATTCATTTTATCTTTCTGAGCTTCAGCTTTCTCATTAGTAATAACAATAAGATAGTGTTTACATCACACTAGGAGCATTTAATGACTTCGAAATTTCTTTGGATAAAAGTTTAAGAGTCACAGGAAGCACCTTAAGGAAAACAGCATAATGTCCAGTGTTTCTAAGCATGGACCCGAAGAGCAGAGGTGGAGAAATGGAAGGGAACCATGTTATAGGGGAGTCACTTGAGTATCATTTTCATACTACACAGTCTGTGTTTTCCCCTTCCTTCTCCATACTCTCCCTCCTCCCAGTAATTGGACCTAATAGAAGCTCCAGAGGAGTAATGAGTAAGAATAGCTTGAATTATTTCATCCATCCACATTTCCCATACTACATCCACCCCAGTCATGTTAAGAACTGATCTAATCTGACCATCTGCTTCATTTGACAGGTAAAGAAATCTAAATATAATAAGATGAAATAATCATTTTTTTCATCTTAAAAGTATTAATCTCTTGGCCTATTTTATATCTGTATTTGCTTATAAATGACAGGAATTCTCAGTGTGTGCCAAGTTGTCCTTACATGCCCCTCCTTTTTTTATTTTTTGCGAAGGTACATGGTAAAATATTTTCCAAACTATAACAAAGAGCATTCAGTGAAAACACAAATCTGTTCCATCTTCGCCACCCTCTGATTCCATGTCACATAAGCTACCACTTTTTAAGTTTTAAGTTAACTTTTTTTTAGTTCTTTTAGGTATTACTCGAATAATTTGAAATGTGGCTAGTTTGAATTGAGATGTGCAATAATTGTAAAATGCACAACAGATTTTGAAAACTTAGCATGAAAAGGTTAAAATATCTCATTAATAATTTTTATATTGATTAGACATTGAAATGATGCTATTTTGAATATATTTTGTTAAATAAATTATATTAAAATTAATTTTACTGGTTTCTTTTGATTATTTTAAGAATAATTAAAATTATTAACTGTTAGAAAATTTTAAATTATACATATGGTTCACATTTGTTGCTCACATTATATTTCTTTTGGACAGTGGACTTTTAGGACTACTCTAATTACTAGTAAGCATGTATTTCCCTTAGTTGATGTACCAAGTTTACTCATGAGATACCTGATTCTAGTCTGATTCTCATTCTTTTATAAAGGACCAAGGTTTTTTCTGGAAAGTCTTAGGATTTTCTTATTCTTGGTATTCTGAAATTTCATAAGCATATACTGAGTTGTACACAGTTCTTGTTCATTTTGCTTATTAGAACACTTGGTAAGCCCTAGCTTGTGTTACTCTTCAGCTCTGAGAAATTTTCTACTAATATATTTTTTTTAAGATTTTATTTATTTATTTGACAGAGAGAGACACAGTGAGAGAGGCAACACAAGCAGGGGGGGAGTGGGAGAAGGAGAAGCAGGCTTCCTGCGGAGCAGGGAGCCCGATGCAGGGCTTGATCCCAGGACTGTGGGATCATGACCTGAGCCGAAGGCAGACGCTTAACAACTGAGCCATCCGGGTGCCCCTGTACTAATATTTTTGGATTATTTCCTCCCTATTTTTTTCTTTTGTACAAAATTTCTTTGCTATTTCTGAATGAGAAAAGGTCTTGTATGATATTAGACCTCTAGTATTAAGTCTCTGCTTTTCTATAATTCTCTCTTATATTTTCTATTTTCCATTCTGTTGTCTTTTTTGCAGTGGTCCTCGGAGGAAACCTTATCCTAACCTTTTGACAGTTTATTAAAAAATAGGATGAGATAGGGGCTCAAAGGGGCATGTGACTCTTGATCTAGGGTTGTGAGTTCGAGCCCCACATTGGGTGTAGAGATTACTTAAATAAATAAAACTTAAAAAAAATAGGAGATAAGCAAACATAGTTGTCTACAACTCTTTCTTCTCTGTTCTTTTGTCATAGAAGTATGTTCTGCCTTTATGACTGTGCTGTCTTCTTGAATATATGTGAGGTTTCAAATTAGATTTGGTTTTTGTTTTGTTTCGTTTTGTTTTAAATTTCCTTCTGTTTCCTGACTTACCTCTGTTTTGCAGTCAGTGGTTTATTTTGTTCAGGGCAGGCTGCTAGAAGTGAAGCACATTTTAGGTAAGGAAAATATGTAACTAAATGTGTAGAAGCAGAAATGCAAAAAGCTTCCTCTAGGAAGATAATCTGATCGTTGTAATACTGTGAATGTAATGAGATAAGGGCCTGAACTATCATGAATGCAGTGAGAACCAAAAGAAAAGAACTGAGTAATTATGCAAGAAAAGTAAGTGTAATTATGAACTGATTTCTCCACTCTAAAACCTCCCAAAGCACCACTTTATTGAACTAGTTATATGCTCCCTTGTAGTGTTAATTATTATATGTGTATGCCTTTCTAACTAAATTGTGACTCTTCAGGGCCAGGCTTATATCTTACTCGTTAACTTTTTTTATAAGTATTTATTGATCAAGCACTATGCCAAGGGCCAGGAGAAAGCAGTAGTCAAAGACAAATAATCCCTGCCCTCAAGGATACTTAATTACTTACATCTTTCACAGTGCTTAGAATTAGATGCTAGGTATTCGCAGAGAAAATATTTGTTACTTAACCCTACTTTAAAAGGTAATATTAGGATGGTCTATTGTATTTGTTTAGGTGTATTGCAAAATTTATTTGATATTAACTATTCTCTCTTTAACTTGATACTAAAAAAATTATTATGCATTCAGATTAAACTAATACCCTCCACCTTATTTAAAGGTAATATAGCACATTGATATAATGAAAACAGCCCGCCCTTGAAAGAGTCCAGGTTCTAGTTTAGCTCTACTGTTGAACAGGTTTGCACATGAATTTTTATCCTCTTTATCTTCTCAGAGCCTCAACTTTCTCGTATGTAAAATAAAGGTTAGATCTTTTAGCACTGACACTGTGAATCCAAAAGTGGAAAAATTTTTCATTCCCATAACCTTTGAATAATGTTGTGGCTAAACCATCTAGTATATTTAATTGAATAATTGGAAATGACAGAGAGCTGTCATTTCATGTTTTATTTGAGTTCTGATCATTGACTAAATACTGTTTTTTTTTTTTCTCTTTTACAGACTTGGGTCTAGATCAGTATACAATAAAACGCTTTGATGGAAAGGTGAGCGAGCTATGACACCTAATATATATCCCTGTTGTTTACTAAGAAGATTTTAAAGTTCCTCTAGAATTATTTGTGAGAAATTTCTGAATGCCTGTTCTTCTTGTCAAAAGAGCATGTTTCTTAGGTTGGAAGGCCTATAAGTGCCTTCAGATGCTTCTACCAAAAAAATCAGGCAGGTTTTTCTACATTTTTCCATATAAGGTAACACTCATGGGTAGCCTGCTATATATAGTAAGGACTAATTCGGTGTATGTTGACATTTGCATTTTAATTCAATTGCCATCATAAAGCTTAACAAGCCCCCAATAGTACATTTGCATTTCTTATAAAAACACTTATTTGATTTGACCTTCCTCAGACTTTGACACTCTGTAGCAGTAATCCTAACTAGAAAATTATAGAAGTCTTTACTGGTGCTTTTATAATAATTATGAAGGCCACCCCAAATTTGCATATACATTTGCATTATACTTTCTTTCAATTCTTTATTTTATGCACAAATAAATCACATAATTAATTGTTCTTCAAGTATAGGAAATGAAACTTTCAATTTTATCATCTCAAAGCAGTCAGTTAAACATGTTTTTCCCTTTCAGGCTGAGCTCTACAAAAAGAAAAAGAAAGTATTACACAGGGTCAGAAAGAAAAGTAAAAGGTCAATTTTACAGAGGAGGAAGAAAGCACATCAGAAAGAAGAGAGAGCCCGGGATGGCTCTACAAAGCTTAAAAAGAAGGAAATCAGAAGGAAAATCATGCAGTGGCTGGAAAAGGCAGGATCACAAGAAGGGTCTAAATGGGTGGAGGTCAGGGTTAGTAGAAGCTGATCTTGCAGGAATATGTTGATCCTGCATCATTATATAAAACTCTATGTACTCATAAGGTGAAGATATAAATAGGAAGATCTTTTGCACAGGTGGAAAGAACGAGTGGCCACCTTAAGAGCTGAGCGATCTCAGTCAAGGCTTCCAGCCTAACAATTGCCTTTCCCATTCATATGGCCCATTGCCTTCATCTGGGTATGCTCTTTTTAAAGTCACATATTCTAAAAGAAAAAATGATCAAAAACAGCATTGAACTAGAATGTTAGGAGACAGGTTCAGAGCTGGCTCTGCTTTGGGACAGCCACATCTTTGATCCTTGGTTGTCTCTGCCTCATGTATAATCAAGTACCATATCCATGTGAAGGTTATTTCAGGCACTGATGTCAGGGTCTTATTTCAGAATCTCTGGCAAATCAGGCCCCTGTTTTATCTGTCTTTGTGTCACTCAGAGTCCAGCATATGTCTGCCATAGAGGAGGGGACCAATAAACATTTGATGACTTGGAAAAATCAACTAATCAATCACATATTCTTTGGAGATATGGCTCATTAAGTCAGTGATATGTTATAGCAAAATCAGTCTAACAAATCACAGTTTTTGGTCACTGAAGGAATTCAGAGTAGCATGAGATTTCTATTCTCTATTATATTTATATATACGTAAATCTGAAAACATGTAAAGAAGTTGAATATGTGCAAGTTGAACAGCAAATTTACATGTTATAGGAGAATTTCCATTCCTAGAGGTCTCCCAAATATAAAATCTCTAGTGGTCACCCATGTTTCATAAATGCTCCTTAAATTTTTCATTTCAGCCCATAACTGTCCACTTGAGGCTAAAAATTTGCAGCTCTGGGCATGACCGGTGAGCTCCACCTTTGTTTCAATCATATTCAGTTTATGAGCTCTATATTTCCTCCCATTAGTATCATCTGCATTTTTCTGTTTTCACTTATTTTTATAAAATAACAAAAGTAAACTGCAGTAAGACATTATAAGTATTTGAGTGCCCGCCTTGCTGTAGAGATGAAAACGGCAGTACTTTGTTTAGAAGGCAGACTTTATGACAGATTGTAGTGCAAATGTTTGGGCTCTGAAATGGGAGTAGGAAAGTAGGATTTAGGGATCTCAACGTATAATGGTTCAAAGTATGACTCATATGAAATTCAGGCATATGAAAGTTGACCAGGGGAACAGGTTCTGCAAGAGAATAGAGGAATGGTAGACTCGCATAGGGGTAGTGTAGAACTGAGCCAGCCAGCTTGTCCCCTAGCAAAGAGTGCATGGATTTTTCTTTCATCCACGTTATGATATGCGTATTTAATCCCTTTGCCAAGTACTTCATTTAAGTACTGTATTAATTTCCATCAAATATATCCTGAAGGTTATGGTTCTTAAATAGGATTTTTAAACTAAGTTCACCTCTGGTTTATGTCTTTATGAATAGTCTTTTATTTCATATGAAGTTTAAGAAAGTAGTTTCTGTGCTGTTTTTAAACCTTGTATAATGAGGTATACAACATTCATTAGGGTTTTATCAGTTTAGAAGTTTTTCCAGGGATTTTTGCCATGTATTTGTGATATTTGTAATAAGGATCATCAATGCTTATTCAACTGTTGATCTTATTATTTTCCTTTAGATCTTCATGTCTCTCTTTCTCTCAGTCAGAATATCTTAATTCTTAAGTAGCAGCTTCCAGAGTGTATAAATCCTAAGACAATTTCCTCTTGAAAAAACAGATTTGTGTAGTAATTATAGTACATTTTATGCAAGATGGCCAGAAATTTAGTCCAAAACTAATACCCTAGAGGAATTTCCTTTTAAACTTGCTTTGATTTTTAAATGGGTCATTTTCTTTCTCTTGTTTTAACTTGAAAGATAAACTAGTTATGAACTACTTAGAGATTTACTCCCATCTTCTTATCCCCCCCGCCCATTGTTTTAACTTTTAACACACCATGTAATAAAGTGTATCATTTGACCAGTAGGTAACACCGCCTTATTTTATTGTCTTTTAATTGAATTGCACTTTAGCCTTTTTGTCATTGAAAGCAAGAACAAATGTAGAAACAGTATCATTTTGCGGAGTTTTCTCATTTGTGTTTGAATTTCATACAGCTTCTAAATGCAAAGTAGAAAAGAAGGCCCAACTGATACTGAGAAATAATTGGACAATTATTTCTTGTTTTGGTGCCTATCATCTTCTCTCTTCTTTTGTTTGACTAGAAAATGCTCTTAAGTAAATGAAACATTCCTGTTTCAACTGATAGTGAAACTGAATTTGATTAAGCAGCTTTTGAATTTGGGGGAGGATCTTTTTCCAGAGCCCATCACTACCTAGCGTTAATGTACACTAATCCTTTACTCTTAGTAGCAATTTCCTTTGTAGAAAAGTCATGAAATACATTATTATTGGCACTTGCATCTTTTATGCATTTCAGAACTATCTACTAACACAGGCCTTATATAAAGAAGCGATGGTGTACCTTCACTTTAAGAAAACGCTTTGTAGATAGGTGATACTTTAAAAGACATTCAGACTGGGTCTTTAAAGTTCAAAAACTCAGAGCTTGAAAGTTCAGATTTTTCTCTTCAAGGATGTTTGAATATCACTACAGTGTACTAGCACTATTATACAGATGGAAATACAAAATATAGTCTGGCTTTTGTTTTAGTGTAATATATCATCGATTTTTTTAAAAATGCACCCTCCCCCTGCAATGTCCATGCATTCTGCTTATGACTTGTTAATGTAGTTACTTCATGAAGTTTGGGTTATTTCTTTAATAAAAGCTATATTTTTCTGGTTTAATTTTTTTTTTTTAAAGATTTTATTTATTTATTTGAGAGAGAGAGTGAGAGAGAGAAAGAGCACAAGAGGGGGGAGCGGGAGAGGGAGAAGCAGACTCCCCGCTGAGCAGGGAGCCCGATGCGGGACTCGATCCCTGGACTCCAGGATCATGACCTGAGCCGAAGGCAGTCGCCCAACCAACTGAGCCACCCAGGCGCCCTCTGGTTTAATTTTTTAATCACATAATAACTGGTCTATAAAACAAAGCATCATTTCTAAATGGAGGCTTTATATTATATAATCATCAAATATTTCTTTCCTTTAATGATTTAGTTGCTGTTTTTTATTGGTGTGGCTTATCTCAAGTGGTTATACCCTTTATTTTCCTGTTTCTCTTAGCCCTCCGTTTTTTCCCTCAGCATATCAAAGATAGAAATTGTTTTGGATTTTCTGTTCCTGTTGTATGTGATAGACAACCTTCTCTGGACCAGACATCACCAATTTTTTTTTTTTTTTAAGTTACAGTAGAAAACTGCATGGTCTAGGTAAAATTGTTTCTTAAGCAAGGAATACCTATGTTCCAGAGTTTTGACATAATCCTCTTCTCGCTTCTAAAAACTTTGTAAAGCTCATACTCTTTGTCAAGTAACAATGAATTGCCCATTGAAAGTAAATTGTTCATTGTTATCATTTTACCATGTATTTCTTTTTCAGAAGATAGTTTTTTTAATTCTTCCTTCCCTATCAAATTCCCTTTTCCCCCAACCACTACCTGAACATTTCAGAAAGCATCCCTCTGGACTGCATTTTTCATTATTTGTATTTACAGTACCCTTAGAATCTCTCCAGTTTGGAAGAAAGAGTTAATGTGTGTTTTATTCCTCTCTTTTATGATACCTACAAGAATATTTGTACATGTGGAACAGAAAAAATATTTTACATCAAATTAAAATGACATTGTTTCCCCCCCCCCCCAAATGACATTGTCCACATTCAGGTGAAAGAGATAAAAGTATGGTCAAAGCCTAGAAAAGGAAGAACTGATTACAGTGTTTATAACAGAAAAAGTTATCAGCAGAAAAAAAAAATGGCAGCCATAGTTAAAAATCAAAGCTTTAATATAACCAAAGGCTTTTAATTGCTTACTAGATAAGAGTTCTTTAAAAAAAATATTGATATGGGGCGCCTGGGTGGCTCA